AGTGCCCGCTACCAAGGTGAGATTTCTATTTTCCAATTTGAATCAAAACTCTTAGATATAAACACAATTACTTGAAGGGTTTTTGTTTCTTAACTATTTTAACTTATATCATTCATTTATCAGGTTCCGGCTGTCTGAGATTTCGTTCGTACTTAAAGCTATTGCAACGCTAGTGGTGTCGATGAAAAAAGCGCCGGCATCAAAGGGTATAGTAAACATAGCTTGCTAAGAATGATGCCTTTTAATACGTTTTCTGTTTACCCCGCAGTGAACAAGCCTGCTTGGGATCAGTTGATTGGCCTGTATCCATACCTGGTAGACTGCACGACAACCACGTCGCCGGAGGTTTCGAGGTCACTGCGCGAAGCACTGCTGCAGTACACAGATCTACTGCAGGCGCCACGCACCTGCGCAGGTACCACATCCAACGACAATGCAATACAATCGAATGGACAAGAGTGAAAGTATGCCCAGACACAGAGACCAAGCTGACATCCAGATTGGTGGTAGCTGTGCGATGTTTATTCTTAGTTGTTTAAGTGCGAAGCGTTTGAATATATTTATTTTGTGCATAATTTATCAATGTTAATCTTAGCCCTCCCTCGCATAGATGTATCGACTAAGCATCTATGTACTTACATGCTACATACCTAAACATATATATATATTTGTAAAAGTATTTTGTAGTTGAGCTATGAAGTATACAATAGGTCTATCCGGCGTTGCCGGAACACCAAATAACCAAGATAAACCCCTACGAACCGCTTGGCAGAGGGATGGAACGCAGACAGCAGATTCCTTTAGTACCTTTTCGAGACGCAAAGACAAAGAACTACATTAGCTGTAGCTATACATATACAAATCTAACTATGATCTATTTGTGTAGCGCATTTTTAAGTACAGACTTGCGTGTTATCTGAATCAAATATTAACCATTAACCATGATGCAACCAACTTTGTAGTGACGTTTTTAAATAAAGCAAAAATTATTATTACCAACTGATAAGCGTAGTTTATTTATGACGTCAGATTGCCGCTATCAAGACCCGCCAGTTGGATGGACGGATGCCTCGACAACAAGTTTACCTCGCCGGTACCTGAGCACACACATCTTCTGTTGGCCTATCCTTATCGCATCCGCAATGAGCAGCCACCTTGATCTGCCTCTGACACGGATTTCTGTTGACTTGGCAACTGCTTTTATGTTTGTGAAATATGGTAGCTGGTTAAGTTTGCTTTGAACAAAACCTGTATGCGGCCGTTATAAATATTTATTTAACTGATAAGGGATTGTGTAAGGGAAAGTTATGCTTATGATTGGAAGGCAAATGGTATACATAGTAAAGTGCTATACGAAATAAAAAAACCTTTTTTAAAGTATAATGAGTACAACTTCAGGGTGTAAACGGATTTCCTTGGTCATAGAGAGAGTATACTCGAAAAGCAGCTTCATTCCCGAAGAGTGTTAAATATAAATTGTAGTTCCATGAAAAACTTTAGAACCGTAATTAAAAAAACTTTATTAATCCGTTCCTTTAACAAGAAAGGAAGTTAGCTTCGGCAAGCCGAAGCTTATATACCCTTGCATCTATAATTATTAAATTCAAAGAAACAAACAATTATATTCCCAATAGTATAAGATAATATGTCAAAAAACACCGAAGCTATAATTTGTTTCATATTATTTTCCTACCAATTTTCCGATTGTTCCTATGGCAGCTATATGATATAGTCGTCCGATTTTGATAAAATTAAATTCGAAATTCAGAACTAATTAAAAAATATTATTTCCAAGCGTAGGAGGTTATATGTTAAAAAACACCGAAGCTATAATTTGTTTCATATTATTTTCCTACCAATTTTCCGATCGTTCCTATGGCAGCTATATGATATAGTCGTCCGATTTTGATAAAATTAAATTCGAAATTCAGAACTAATTAAAAAATGTTATTTCCAAGCGTTGGAGGTTATATGTTGAAAAACACCGAAGCTATAATTTGTTTCATATTATTTTTCCACCAATTTTACGACCGTTCCTACGGCAGCTATATGATATAGTCTTCCGATTTTGATAAAATTAAATTCGAAATTCAAAACTAATTAAAAAATGTTATTTCCAAGCTTAGGAGGTTATATGCTAAAAAACACCAAAGATATAATTTTTTTAAATTTGTTTTTCCTATTATTCCTATGGGAGCTATAAGATATAGTTGTCCGAACCGGTTGGTTCCGACTTAAATACTACCTGCAAAAGATATAAGACTTTTGGGAAAGTTTCAGCCCGATAGCTTTAAAACTGAAAGACTAGTTTGCGTAGAAACGGACGGACAGACGGACATGGCTAGATCGACTCGTCTAGTCATGCTGATCAAGAATATATATACTTTACGGGGTCGGAAACGTCTCCTTCACTGCGTTGCAAACTTCTGACTGAAATCAATGTACCCTCTGCAAGGGTATAAAAATAAGCTTGAGTTATGTCCATCACAAGTGTCCTTTAAAGGACATTAGACTATCTTCAACTGAAGAATTCGAGGAGATGAGATAACAGACATTTTAGTAACATAATTTTTCTTAATTTAAGTTTTTTATATTTTAATTACACACTTTATATATAATAGAGTTTAAACCAGAAATGAAATGTTTGTCCGTTGTGAAATATTTCTAACTATTTGAGAAATATGAGCTCATTGACTTGTTGCTTTTGTTGTGAGCTGAGTTGCTTGAATGGGATGATGAGAACCATGGATCATTTGATGATGATAATTCCATGAGCTATGACTCCGATGTCACAAACAACCAATCAACCAAGATTTGCTCACAAGAATTTAAACGTTTACCCTATCTGAAATATTTATAATTGTTTGACAAATATGAGCTCATTGACTTGTTACTTTTGTTGTTGTGAGCTACTCAAGCACAGTTATTTGAAAGGATTATTGGAATTATGGATCATTTGATGATGATTCTAAAATTCCATGAGCTTTGACTCCAAAGTCGCATACAACAAGTCATGCAAGTTTTGCTCACAGGTGATTTTATACCCGTTACTCTTAGAGTAAAAAAGTATGTACATATGGGCCGATCTTTTATAAGCCGAACGACTTTCGCCAAAAATATTGTTTCCTATTTTTGATGTTGTTTTGTTTTCTATTTGGTAATAACGTGTTTGTATCAGGATTTAACCGAAAAATAATAATTTTTTGGTAAGAAAAAAAAAAGCCAACTTTTAAAAAGTATTTTTGTTTAATTATAGTACTTTCTTTATATTTAAAATACATTTTTTTGAAGATACTAATTCTTTATTTTCTTAGAAACCAAAACAAATTAAATTTTAAAAAAAATTTAGGGGTTTCCCCGACAACAACATCAATTTTTCAATTTAAATATATGCGCCAGTTACCTACATTCAAATTTTTAAAAAAGTTTAAGCCATTAGTAAAAATAATTAATTTTTAAATCAGAGTTTTTGGAGAAATAAATACAGAAAAAATGAAGACAATCGGATAACTACAGCTTGAGATGTAGAATTTTAAACAAATGTACTTCCTAGAATTTATATACTTTTTTTCGGCGAAACCCTAATGTGTTCACTTATTTACCGAATAGTATACATACGTAAAAAGATTCAGGCTACCATATAAAATATATATTTGAGTCAAACTAGCCGTGTGCGTCTGTCCGTATAAAGGGTGAGATCCTGTATAAAGGATAGGAAGATAGCAAGAGAGGCATATTCTAGAAATTCTTGCGCAGCGAAAGATTATTTCAGCAGAGTGCCTCGCCCACCTTAACGCCCACACAGGGAAAATTCTGACGATTTCATCTGAGTTAAAAATTTTCTTAAGAATAGAACGACATTTGGGAAGTTGAAAGTATTTTAATTTTGCTCGAACCAAGTTGAATTGGCGGTATTTACATTGTATATCTCAACAAATAAACTATTAGACCAGTCAGTAGTGAATACTTATCAAAAAGTTGTTAATTAAACTAAATTTAACTTTCGTTCTAATGTTGAGAACATTGTACTTACACGGTTTTTAAGAACGAATGTTCTCAATTCAAGAACATTGTACTTGAATACTTATCTGTGCATAACGCTAAAATCTGGCGTCTACATTGCACTGTGCAATTTCATAAATAGGAAATTTTATTTTTCGCTATACGGTAAGTATAACGAGTATTCAGTTACAATCTAAATTTACCTGACACAAGTCCTGAAATATATTCCGAGGGCGACTTACCTTTTGGTACCTTGTGCGAGTAGATCAGCGAAAGTGCAACGGTTTAATCTAAATAAAATTTTTATTTTAATTTGTTTTGTTTCATTTTTTTGTCAGTTTTCTGTTTTTGTTTTCATTTTAATCGGTATAATAAGTATAATAACATTTTTTGTTGTTCTTGTTTTCATTATTATTATTATTACTGTTAATGTTAATGTTTTTATAGTTTTTGGTTTCTTTCGGTTTTAATATTAGAATTAGGCAATCGAGTTTAATACTACCTTCGTTTTAAATATTATGCAACGAATTTTTTGGGTTTTCCTTCCTCATGATTTTTGTTTATGAATTTTTAAATGTATATATTTAATAAACTCATTTCCGTTCTGGCTAGGCAACTTCTTGTGTGTCGGGCAGCAGCCGCACACTCCATTGCTGTCTCGTATATTTTTTTGGATTTTATTTATTTTTTGTTTTGTTTTATGTGCTTGTCAACTCTTTTGGTTTTGGGTTTTTATTTTTTACTTAATGCCGTGGGCGCTTAATGTACAGTTGCCTTGTAAAAATGTACAATTCAAGCGCTTGCTTTAAAATATTTTTTTTTGGTTTTTCGGTCTTTATTTTTGTATTACTCTATATTAGCTGAAAGTTGGTTTTCAACTCTGCCCTATAAATCACTTTTAATAAATAGCCGCCACGCCGCCTTGGTTTTTCTTGTTTGGTTTGGTTTAGCTATTTACTTGTTTAGCGCTTGTAATTAACATTTTTGTCGTGTTCTCATTATGTTTAACTTTTGTTTTAATTTCATGGGCTTAGATATAATACAATTTGTTGTTTATTATACTGCACTAACGGTCGCGTTCGGCTCGCTTTCATTTCATTTACTAACTGCCTTTTTCGGGGATTTTCAAGATCTAACTGCCAGCGGCTGCAAACTCTTCTTCTCTCTGATCTGGCTTAAACTTGCTTAAACGTTTAACTTGGTTGATGTCCTTCGTGTAATATTTAGTTAATGTTTATGTGTTTGTGTATGTATGCGTGTGGTTTACGGTTTAACAATAGTTTAGTTTTAGTTTAGTTTAGTTACTAATTTAGTGTAGCACATCCGTGAGATGAGACGAGATTTGCGTGTTCAGATTCCGGGTACTGGATTTGGATTTGGAATTGGATTTGGGTTTCTTCTTCGGGTTTTCGATCTAAAAAACTCTATTTATATATATATGTAATGTATGTATATATAGTATGTATGTTTATAGTATGTTTTGTATGTATATTAATTTATCTGGTTTAATTAGTATTTGTTAAACAAAAGTAACGCAAGAGATTTCATTTAGTGCTAAAAACAAGTGTATGCTTATGTAAGTATTCGGCTTCGGTTTCCCTCCACTTTTTCCTCCATTATAATTATATTTATATCATATAATGTCTATGTAAAGAGATGTTCGGTAGATAGGCGTAAAGAGCGCAGTTTTCTTCTTATTGGAAATTCGTAAAGTTCGTTAGAAATCTGATGAAAGTTTCATTAAAGTTTTCCTTTTGCTTTGTTTCTCAATTTATTCGATAAACTCTTTACATTAAATTACTTAGCTAAATTGTTGGGTTCTTTTCACCATCTTCTGCTTATGTTTTCTGTTTTTTATATAATTTTTTTGGGCTTTTTTGAATTTTTTGTTGCTATAGCCATACAAAATGTTGTGTTTCTTTAATGTATAACGTTAAGTACACACATATACATGTTCGTACATATATGTATTCCTTTGGTTTTAGTTTAATGAACACTTTGTTGGGTTCATTTTCAATATTAGTTTAAAAAGTTAGTTATAGTTTTAAGATTAGCGTTGGTTTTACATTTTCTTGGTTTGGTTTAGGTTTAGAAAAAGTTCTGCTTGTCGAAATTAATATAGTTAAGAAGCGCTGTGCCCTGTTGACTTGTTTGTGATTTCTCTTCGGTCTAGATTTAGGATTAGGTCTAGTTTTAGCTTCGGTTTCCATAATTCGTTATCTATGTACTTGTATGTATATATGTAATTTATATAAATTGCTAAAAATCATATTTTATCGATTAGTATTCTGAAACAGTTTTGTGTTCGCTCTAGTTGAAGACTTTTCGCAAGGGCCCCCGGAACCAACTGGAATCCTTCCCCGGGACCTATTATCGAGTTCTATTTGGTTATTATACGGCGAAGTCTGAGGAGGGAGAGGCGGGGCTGGCACTTAATTGATTTCTTCTTCTCTTCTAACTCCCCAAAAGGCTTATGTGGCTAGCTATCCTATATCTAGCTCATCCCGGAAGGAAGGATTCCATTTGCTCTCGCCGGCCCATGTGTGTTTTGTGTGACATTCGGTTACTAGCTTGGATTACAGAATATTTTACTGCTTTCGGTTCATGGCTTTTATGGCGAACCGTGTTTACCCGTAGTTCTAACTGGTTTATGGAGTGCTGATGTCACACCCCCTTTAAGGCCAAGTCACACGTTTTGCTCAAAGTCGCCGATAAGGGAAATGATTTAAAAGTTAAATTATTTCTTAATATTTTGTTTTATTTCTACTGAAACCCTAAGGCAATTATTTGTTTTCCTACAGTGTCTCCTATAGGTTTTTTACACTACTCTGGGCGCCTGCGGAAAACAAAGTTAGGTTTTAACGGGTTCGATTCGCCGAAAGTTCAGCCTGGCCGGCTGAATGCTCCTCCTACGTATTCTCATTTCCTTCTCTATCGGAAGCTAGCTCCTTCCCAGAGCTGGAATTAACACAAAATGTGTGACTTGCCAGTGAATCCGCCAAAAGGAATCGTTCTAAACAAACATAAATTTGGCTCTGATTTCGCATGCAATGTGTTTTGGTTCTGCAAACGTTTTTGATAATGCCATAACAAGTGTTTCTGGAAATCGTTGCTTCCATAGTGTATAGTTTTTCATTGGGGGCATTCCTCCTTCTTTTCCCACTGCCATCTTGGGTTTTGCAGCACCGAAACACACAGAATGAAAAGTCCAAGAGAGACAGTTGTGATTTAAATTTCAAAGCTTCATAGCTTGTATGCTCACTCCGTAAGCAAACAAAAAAACAAGGACCTTTCTGAATTTTGAACCTAACTCGTCAGTTTTAGCTTTAACTAATTGGGTTGCCCTTCGGGAGAACCGCTGTGAACCGCTTTTCTGGCTTAAGTTTAGTCTTAGCTTTCGTTTCGGCTTGTGATTTTCCCTCTCGACATTTGGCTTATGCGACTAATTAAAAGTACGTGTAATTATTAATAATATTTATTTATATGTTATATATATAATATATATAAGGTTCCTCCTTGTAACTTAACTAGAGCTTCGTCTGATGTTCACATTTAGCTGCTCTACTCATGAAGCGTCTAACGCGTGAGAGTCAAAAGTGTGTGCCAAGAAAATCTGCGTTTGCTGATTATATTGATCGGTAGTTAGCAACAATTGATGGGCAAACAATGGATATGGATCGGTCGGCGATCGGTAAATGAGAGAGGGTGAGGTGGAAAAATAGAAATGGGGTGCTGCGAAGGAGTCATATGTTCTATCTGAGGAGTTTAGTTAGGATACACGATTTGTTTGTTGTCAGGCTTAGTTTGTCGTTTGTTTTCTGTACAAAAAGACATACAATACTGCGTATGTGGTTGTTTGTATATAAGTGTATATTATATAAGTATGTATAGTTTCCGTTTGTTGCATCCATTTCGTTAGTATGTTGTATATATATAGCATAGTTGTCGAGTGTTCCGAAGTTGATTTGGTTTGGTTTGCTACAAAGTTAGTTACGTGTGTATGGTTTAGTTGTTCGTGTTGTTGTGGGTAACATTACGTTATACAATATAGCAGTAAATAGGTATCGTAGCTGTTCTTCTTCTTGTTGGGATTACTTTTCAGTTCAAAGGGGTTCAAGGATGTCTGTTTCGTAAGGGGTTTTGGTCGAAAGAGAGAAAGTCGATGGGGAATCGGTCGGATGGAACCAAGCCCAGCAATGAAAAATAAGGCTTTTACAGATACAATGAAGGGGGCGAAGGTCTGTTAAATGTACAGTTATGCATAATAGATCAATCGTAATATAAGTAGTAGTTGTTGTCGTTAATAGTTGTTATACACAAATAAGCCACAAAAACTGTACAACAATTGTACATGAATAAAAAACTTATGCGCGAGAATTTATCGACGGTTTCCAAAAAGTCTCCTCTCTAGGCTATTATTTACCTCTCCCTTCTTCCTCTATTTTTGTAATTCATCGCATATGTATATAACTATGTAATCGAACATGCACACACACACACGTGATCTATATATATAGCAATTTTATATATATATTCTTTATTTATATATATAACAAGAACATTTCTTTGTTGGTTTTTACCAAGGGTTCTGTTTATTATGCTCATTTAGTTTACTATACAAATCGTCTCGTCTTGTGTTATTTAACATAATTTTATTTTATTAACTTCATCGTTTTGCTGAGAACACAGTTTACTATGTAAATATTTAAAGCTTTGGTGGCGGCGAAGAAATCAACAACGAAAAGTTCACGATAATAAAAACATCAACTAAAGTAAAAGTCGTACAAATTTATACATATATTAATATATATATACGATTTTAGTATGATTACGAGTTAAGATGTGAATTGAAGACCGCTTTAGTTCTTAGTTCATCGCAATTCGATTTTTATACACATACATTATACATAAACAACCAAAATTAACAACAACAGAAATGAATTAACAGAGCTTATGATTTTTTATTTTTTAGTTCTTAGTGTGTTTTGATTTTGGTTTTTAGTTTTTGTTTACCAAAAATGAGGCTAAGCAAATAGTACTGAACTTTACAAGTTTTGGCAGTACGCATCTGATTCACTTCCATCCTTTCCTCCTAAAATTATGCAATATACAATGTTCTCGCTTCCAACGCTTCTGCTTCGTCTATCTCTCCGTCATCAGCTACTAGTTGTGGTATTAATCCTTTAAAAATATACTCATAACGCGCTACTTAATTGTTTAAAAAGTTCATCTTCAGTTTTCCAATACACCGCTTTAACTAAGTTTAATAAACAGAGTTCTTTCAACGTCGTCTTCCAATCTCTTTCATCATGTTCCATCGTGTTCTCCTTCCTCTTCCTCTTTCTCTTCCTCGCAAATGTGGTGCTGCTGCTTCCGCTTCGCTTTCTCTGCTTTCTTTTTTGAGTTCCGTTTCGAACTAAAAACTAACCTCAAAATATCGCTACCTAAAAAATCATAGTTGTATAAAGAGTCCTCTTGCTAGGAAAGAGAGAGACAGAGCCTTGCCTACTTGCTTCACGGTGAGTCAGGCAGAGACAGAAGAAAATCGCCTTCTTCAGATTTTCTCAACTTTTAGGTTATGTACAATATTACTCTGTTGTTTTCAGGTGAAGGGTGCGTGGGAGAGGGAGTGGCATGTGCGACATTTTTGCTTTGCTTTGGAGTTAACGCTTCACTTTATGGTTAATTGCTAAAGTTCCTTTATACTGCCATCGTTTATCCGTATTCTCTTATTAGTGTTCGTTTAACTGCTATCACTTTCCATTTTAATATAATTTTAGATTTACTTCGGTTTCCTCTTGTTTAATATTAATTGTTTGCTTTCTTTTATATTTCTTTAATAAAATACAATTTTGCTAAACAAAGTTTGCAGTTTTGATGGGAGAGGGGAAATGGGATGGGGTGTGGATACACAACTTTTTCTCTGGTGACCGTTTTCTTTATTTCGGTTTCATTACTTCTTCATTTCGCTAGTTTTATGTAGTTTATGTAATGTTTTAATGCATTTTACTTTCTGTTACTTGTTTTTTGCTCATATTTAAATGGATTTATTTGTTATTCTTTATACGGTGTGTTCTTTCTTTTGCTTAGGAATTTTAATCATAATTTCTCCTTTTCTTTTTCCTGCAATAAAAAATAAATTGCAAAAATCACTTGAATTAGTTTGGTGATGGTCTAAGTTAGTGGTTGCTCATGTGGATGTGATTGGATTGGGGTTTCTTCAAAGAATTGGAAAATAAGTTAATGGAATATATCGAAGAAGAGGTAAATATTGATACGGGAGTGATAATCAATTTATCAAAAAACTTTGCTATGCTTTAATTAAAAATAAATAAAGAGTATAGGGTGGCTTGTTAGTAGAAAAAGTATGCTACTTTTGGTTGTTGCTGTTGCAGATGCCGTAGATGTTGCTATTGCTGTTCAGATTGTTAGTAGTTATCATTACTTTTTTGGTAAATTATTGCAGTGATTGTAGTTTTTGGAGTTGTTGTAGTTGTTGATGTTAGTTGACGCTGGGCACATTTGGATCAGATTTGGTTAGTCAAGGCGGGTTCATGGAGAATTGATCGAGGGCGAGGTTTATTTTTGGGTTCGTTTTTCGTTTTTGGTGGTGGATTTTGGTTTTTAGTTTTTGGTTTTTAATGATGATTGCAGAAAACAGTCAACCAATCAATCGATCGAATCAAGCGGCAGGTTCTCCCACATATTTTCTGTTTTTCTTTTAGGATTTCTCATTCAATTTAGTTTTAACTAGAGAGCGAACTTGATCAACTACTCAAAAGAAATGTTGGTTTATTCGACAATTCATATGGATAGTTATGGGGAAAATAAGAAAAGAATGGAAGATACATTTGATTAGCTTTCCATGATTATAGCTACGACGAATCACTCAAAGATACCAGAAATCGTCAAGAGCAAATCATAAGTCAATCGGCAACAGAACACAAATATAAATGGAAACAATTTTCACCGGGGACTTTCCCCCATTTAGGCAGGCGCAGGCAAGCAGAAACCAGGATCTAAGATCTAAGGAAAAAGAAAAAATAAAAGTGCACACAGGACACTACGAAGAAAAAATAGAGAAAACAATAAAAATGCAAAGTGGTTGGTTTTGTTCTTTTTTTGTTTATTTTTTTTGTTTAATTTACAATTGTATTTTTTGTTGTTTGTTTTATATTTCGGTAGAAATCAATCTCAAAACGCACAAAATCATAATGGATAGTTGTAATCGGTAAAGAATAGCACAAGTGTTTAGATACTAGATACAAAGAATCGAAATCATTTAAGTTCTCAAGTTTATACACAGCAAAATCAACAGAGGCGACAAAAAACATAAAGTGCGCAAACTAGAGTGGCGGGGCTGAGGGGCGGTTGGGGGCGGGGAAAATACTCTTTCGTGTACAATATACAAATAATTCTAATTATAATTCCAAATCAATGCAAAAGTGCTGAGCTACGATTTCTGTGTTCTCTGTGTATGTTTTTATTCACTGCCAAGAAATTAATAAGCTTATATAGTGATTTATAATATACATAAGTAACGATTAATTCTGTTTTTGTATTCCTCCAAAGCAAAATGAAAACTTTTGCTTTGGCTACGGTGTTTTTGTGTTTTTCTTTTAAATGTGGTTTTCTTTTTAATGTATATAATTAAAGAATAAGTACTTAAAACAAAGTTGATAACATTTTCTTGTCGTATTCCTTTACACGATAATAATAATAATAATATTATGGACTGGACTTTGACATAAAAAGAAAGGTTTTGTTTACGTGTAAATCATTTCCTTTAAGTTTCGTTTGTAGTTTTTTTAAGCAACAGAAACAAGCACAGCGAAAAATGAATTTTCGATTTGAATAAAGCAAGAAATTATAAGGCATATTTACGATGAATTAATTTATAGTATTTATATCTAGAGAACTACATATTTTGTTTTTACTCTCGGATGTGTAGGTGTGAGTGAGTTGTGTCTGTGTGCGTTCGTTTTGTGTTTCCGTTTCCGTTTTGTGTTTGTCAGAGTTTTGGGCGAAGCAAATATACGGATCAGGAATATATTTGCTTTTGTATAGCACACGTCGAAAAGAGTAGAAACCCAAAAGTATAGCTTTCTGTGTTCACTCTCCGTTTCACTTCTCGGGGTCTCGTTATTTTTATTAATTTGTTTGCGACGCTCCAGGCACAATAGACTTTATTATAATACAAAATTAGCAAAACTATATAATTTCTTAACCTTTAGCATTTCTTTTATCGCATATCCGTTTGCGTCAAACACAAAAATTCATTCATTTTTTATTTTCCCATTGTGGTAACTATTAGAAATTGTTAACTAAGAAAATTTCACTAATTGTTGTAGCTGCTGCTCCTCCGTCCGTTTGTCTGTCCGTCCGTAAGTACGTTGCTTCTCCGTATCCGTATCTGTATCCGGTTCCGTATGGTTATGTTGGTGTCTGGTCTGCATTCGCGTTCGCCTGCAGCTTCAACGTCTTTAATTTGCAGTATAAAACTAAAATTTCAACTTTTCTCTTCTGCTGCGTTTTGTTTGTTTGTTGTTTATGTTGGTTTGCTGATGTTTAATATTATTTGGTGTTGACAGTTTATGTGGTTTTGTTTGTTGTGGTGTTGATTGGTTGGTAGGTTGTTGGTTGGTGGTGTGTTGGGTTGGAGAGTAGGCACACTTACTGTTCTTGGGGATCAGTATCACTCTCCTCCAGTTCGCTCTTGTTGCGTCTCTTCTCGTAGATGAGAATGATGATGCACAGAATCAGCACCTCAGCACAGATGCCCAGGAAAGGCCACAAGGCGGCAAATTTGCCTAAAGAGAACGAGAAGCTGTTAAAATACATGTGTTCACTTGGGCCTACTGGTTAGCCATGGTCGTTTCGGCAAGAGTTGGATGTAAATACACAGCTATTTTATAACTAGTTTCCCAGCTCAACTCCCCTAGATTACTTTAAAAACACGAGTAAAGAAACTAACACCTAACGTTTAACCGAGATTTGCAAATTTTAATTTTGGCAAAGATCGTTTTGATTCAGTGGTTAAAGTCCCAACGGTCCTGCCATTAAAAAGCGACCACGGTAATTCGGCGGACATTTAATAAAGCTTAGGCGACGCTCCCATCCGATGCAAACTTACCCTTAACACGCACAGTTGTGAAGTCGCTGGCAGGAGCGGTGGTGTTTACTCCATAGTCATTGGCCGCATTGCGTCCAATGCATTTGTACTCGCCTCTGTCGTCCAATGTCACATTATCCAGTGTCAGAATGGCGTTTTGCACGCCGTTCTCCTGCTTGAGGATGAAGCGATCTGTGGCGTTTGTCAGCGTTACATTGCCTGCCAGAAGGAGTGCACAAGAGTTAAAACCTATTTCGATCAGAGGACACCGCAGAGAAGCGGTTGGAAGACTCACCAAAGGTCCAAGTCAGTTGTGGATCGGTTCCCACAACGGTGCAGGACACCGACATCTTCTCACCCTCCACAACAGCTGTATTTGAAGGCACTCTTACAACAACGCGGGCTACAGGCGACAAAGGATACCAATTAATTGGGGGTTTCGGAATAAAAGAGGTGCAAGGACCTACCAATCACTTCGATTCTCTGAGACTCGCCGTCGATCTCGCAAGTGTAATTTCCATGGTCGTTCGCCTCCGTTTTATCGATAATGAACTTCTTCTCGTCGGCGATTATCTTAAAGCGACCTCTTAGCGAAGGCACCTCCGTCACCGAGGTGTTGTTCTTTTTCCTGCACACAATGGATTAATTTGATTATAGAAAATATGGAAAAGCTCAAAAAGAACCCTAAAGTTCTTTATTTAACGTATACTTATAACAATATTATTCCTTAAAATTCAAATTCAAATTTAGAATACTTAATTGATGGATATAGAAAGTAGTTACTGATCTTGCAATATTTATTCGAGTATATTTCAACATCATGGTAAACTAGTTATAAAACTTAAAGAAACTTGCTAGCAGAAAAACCCATTTATCTAAATGAATTGTACAGTTATCGCCGAATAACCGGGCTGCACCTACTTGAGGAACCAACTTTCTCTTAGCCCTCCGCCGTTCTCTAAGCCTTTTGCCAATTATTCAAAGACTAATTCCACAGCGAGGCACACGCAAAGTTTGGCCCTGGCCCCAGAACAAGAACGAGAACCAGAGACCCGGACAGGTCCCGGAATGAACAAAAGTGTCATTACCATTACCAGACCCTGCCACAGAGCTCGGCGCTTCGGCCACCAACACTAACTGGTCCCAGACAGGAAGGCACTTTTCAGTAACCACCTCCCGCAAAAGTGCCACCCATCAGACCCCACTCAACTGTACTCACTCGCACAAATGTCACCTTATTGTACCCTTGCAATGGGTATGCTTACGCTATGTTACAAGTCTCCAAAAAAGATAATCTTTCTTTCTTTCTAATTTCGGAAATATATATCGTACTGCACTGGCTACATAGTAAATGATAGAACTTTTAAGGTGCTCTAATACGCAGATAAATGCAGGACTGATTATTATCGGAAAGATTTATACAAAATACGCAGATATTTAACCACGTAATGTTAACACTTGTTGGTCAAAATTTACTAGCTTTGTGAAGAAAAAAAAAGAAAGGCGATTATGTACCATGTTTAATTTTGTTTACACCCTTATAAGTGACTTGGAAACTGTGGTTCCCTTATTTGATTAAATGCTACTAGTAATGCCACTTTATAGTATAGCCTATACACCTTTATAAGTGACTCAAACCCTCCAGAGATCTCGGTGGCACATCTGGTATAAGTATTTTCATTAGGGTGTTTGGTGCTTCGTTCCTTTTTCGGTTACCAGGTTACGTCAGTCAGGCAGTCAGTTAGCCAGTCAGGCCAACATAATTAAGCAAAAGTGCTTAGCTGTGCCGTATTAAAATGATTGCTCTTATAACTACTAACTATGTGGGACACAGACACAGAGACCACCCTGCCTCGCAACATCCCCGGATATTTTTTGGAACCCAAGTGGAGATTTCGGAATGACTTACCATATGAGTACGGCCTTCGTGGTTTCGTCTTTCACGTTGCAGCTGAGAACCAGCGGCGTTTTGATGTCGTAAAATTTCATTTTATGCTCGATATTATCATAGTTTGGCACCAGCTTATCTGGAGATGGTATAGATAGATAGAACAGATTAGTCACATATTGACAGAGGTGGGTGGCGTTCTAATAATGGGATACGAGAAAACGTTTACATAAAGAACTGCTTAAACAAAGTTTATTCTAATAACTTGTATATAAAGATAAATATATGTATTTGCTTATAGGAATAAATTGAGAACGAGCTTAAAGTATGAGAGGTTTAGGTGGAGATTTTTGGAAGATATTTCTGGGTTTTTTGATTCGATCTTTATTTTTGGCTGAGAGATGAGAGCTTGAGATTCGGTTTTGAGTACTGACTAAATTGCTTAGGAGAGTAATGATGAATTAGCAACACACAAATCACTAATACCAAATCATAGGTGAAGCAAAAAAAATGTATTCGTAAAATTAAAACTTAAACTAAAACTAAAACTAAGGAATATGTATAAATAAAACAAAAGAGCATACAATTTGGTCAATCGAATTTTATTCATCCTGTCAAGTATAAAACACATTTTCGTACTATTTAGAAACTTGGACTGAAATCAAATAAACTTCATTTTACACTGCGTATGAATTGAGATTACTTTGATTAGATTACGTTTATGTTTGATTAGTTTAGTATGTATAGTATAGTTGATTAATTTATCGGTTAAATTAGCTGTAATGTATAAAATAGAGCAAAAGTAGTTAAATTTATATTTATCGATATACACAATGCGATACATACAACAATTAGATCGATTCTCGGCTAATCGACAGATCGATAGACAAGAATCGCAAGCAAAAAAGCAAGAGAGCGAGAGAAAGAGAATCAGCGACTCGTCACGTGTTGTTTTCCGCCTTATCTGGCAGTCTCATTGATTATAATCAGCTCGTAAGCCAAACGCTGCCAATTGTAAACTTATGCGTCATCGCAAACTGGCTGCCAATCAAATTCGATCGAAATGGAATCAGAATTGAAATCGAAATCGAATTCGATGCACCTGCCAACTGTGTGTTTAACAATCAGAGTAAACAACCAAAGCGTTAAAGAGGAAGAACCAAGGAGGAAGAGGCAAAGAAAGTCAAAGAAAGACAAAGAAAGCCAAAGGAAAACAACGTCAGAGATACATATGTGGCTAGTTCGCAGAGGCCACAAGACATGGCTACAAATAAAATCAGAAAGTAAAGCACAAAAGACAAAGAAAGAGCGGCAATGATGAAAAGTTCAGGCAAACAACTCAAGCTCAACTTAAAGGTGTGACCGTATGTGGATGTGTGGGTATGTGGTGTGTGTATGCGAGAGAGCGAGAGCCGACAGTGAGCTTGTCAAAATCGCTCTAAGAGGAAGCGAGCGAGAGGGCGAATTAGCTAGGCGAACGATTAACGCTTAATTAAAATCCAACAACACCAAATTTAGACTAGCAAGGTAAATGCAAGATGGAAAGAGACGGCGATAGCAAGCGAGGGGTAGGTGAGTGGTGCCTGAGTTGAGATCAGATGCAGTTCGAAAGAGACAGAGCGAGTGGGTGGGGTGGGCGAACAATTGCAGCGATGACACTTGACCTTGTTCCCGTTTTCATTTTCTCAAATATCTAGATTTTAAAACGCTCTTTACTACGGGTAATCTAAAATCTCTACATATTTTAAATGAAATCCTAAGAGATCTCAAAATGTTTGCTTCGTTGGAGGAAAAAAATCTCCTAGCCTACATTTAGGAAAGTTTATTAATGATTCTAAACCACTAAAAAATACTGTTTCTTCCTTATAAATGTATCGTGTTAATACACAAAAAATGCTTTTTAATGTTATCTGCAAAACCGATAAATAGATTTAAATGAATCTGTATATGAAAGCTAATCTTCGTCACATCCATAGTAATCAAAGAAACCCACAGAGCTAATGGAAATGGGAGCAAGGTCATAGTTTATGCTACGATAACAATTACAATGGCAGTTTCGGCGCGAGCGAGATAAAAGCCAAAAAACGAACAACAACAAAGTGGGCATTTACAGGTCGAACTTTAGTAAGAGGTTTAGTGAGTGTGTCATGTGTGTTGTGTGTTTTGTGTGCATGTGTGTGTGGCTCACCCATCTTGACGGGCAAGAGCGTCTGGTGCTGTAGATGCACTTGATGCACCTGATGCCCATGGCCACCCATCAGCATATGGCCACCAGCACCCATCATTGGGGCAGTGGCACCCGCAGGACCTCCCGCACCTGCACCATCATATCCACCCATTAAGCCCTTTGTGCTGGAGGATGCTGAAATAGTGGTGTGCTCTCCTCCTCCTCCTCTTCTTGCGTCTTCCTCCGATCCAGAGCCCACCACAGGCGGCTCATAGTGCGGCGAATGGGTCCTGTGCCGCTCATTCTGGCCAGGATTGGGTCGCGGCGGCGGTTGCAGCTGGAAGGCGTTCAGCGTGTGCTGCGCCTGCTGCTGCAACTGCTGCTGGTGGTGGGCATGGTGGTGCGCCGTCGTTAGGAACAGGCTGGCCTCCGTGGCAGTGGCACTGGCAGTGGAATACGTCTGATTGTACAGTATGGTGGGTGGCTCCGGCGGCGCCACCGTGTGCTCCTGCGGATTAAGGCGCGGTGGTGGAAAGTCGGGCGGTGTGGCCGAGTAGACGCGATGGATGCCGCCTCCAACCGCCGAGGGGTTCCAGGAGTGAGGTCCGGACAGGCTGAGGTTTCCATAGCCCAAATGCGACTTGTGCTGTTTGTGCGACTGGTGGGACAACTGTTGCTGCTGCTGCTGCTCCTGCTGCTTTCCCCACACTGTTGAGAACACATCCGCCGAGTTGGACGTCAGCTCATCAATGGTTTGATAGCCGGACTCGGTGGGGTTGCCCGCTCCTTCTCCCTTGGGATCCAGCACTCGCAGCATGAAGCTGCTGTGGTGTCGGTTGCACTGGTAGATACCCTCGTGCACCTTGAGGGCATGCTTTACGCTCAGGTGGGCCTCGATCTTGGGGTTTTCATCTTTAGCGGGAGCAACAGATGACCAGATGAGAGGTGGAATCAACTCCTCCGGAAGCAAGTCCTCCGCCAAAATACTCACCATCGAACGTAGTCTCCGACAAAGCGTAGGCATGATCATCGCGCCCGTGTCGCAGGTTGTGCCTTGTGATCGGCTCCCCATTCTTGAGCCAATGGATCTGCTCCGTGACCGGGATAATGCAGGTGATGGAGAAGTCCTTGCCCACGCTCACTTCGTGGTCGCCATAGTAGATGGCCGCCTGCTCGTTGGCTGCTCCCACAACAAAAATGAACATTGGTATAGAGTTCAAGGGTCACAGATTGAACTTAAACCGAGACTAGGAAAAGTGCTGGTCAACAAAATTGATAGGGAAAGGGATGTCACAAAAACATCTGGCAATTTTAAATCTCTTCAAGAGGCATCAGAAATGTAGCAATGATATCGGATAGCCATTGCCTTTGTTCTAATCCCTTTTTTTCAGATTTATAACCACTGGAGATTTTTGAACTACCCACATTGATTTCTTTAAGTCCAGTGATTGTAAAGTCATTTTTCCAACAGTTTTTCAAGTCCAAGTAACCAGTTTCCATAATTCATTTTAAAAATTTTATTTTCAAATTAAGAAGTCCTTTTCCGTGTGAGATTTTTCAGAGCTAGTGGAAAAACTTTCGAACAGATTATAAAACTGCTTGAAAAATACTATTCTAATCACCGGTTTTAAGTATTGCGATCTAATTACGTTGACCAGTGAAAACGATTCCAAATAATAAAATCTAATTGAAATTCGTTGAAAAGAGGAGAAAAACGATCATCAATACTTCCCAATAGTATAAATGTTTATGTGATGACTTATATTATGTGTGTTTTTCCCGTTTATGGTATTTGTTGAAAAAGTTGCGATCGATTATTTGATTTCAGCGCCAAGTTGCAAACATATATATCAATGTTGGAATTTATCTAGTCGAAATGCTTATATGTTTTGGGCAGTTTTGTTTTTTTTTGGGGTGAGGGGAGGCTAATAAAACACATTTACTCACAAAACAGAAAAACACAACGGATGGAAAATAAACTAACATAAACCGAAAATTTATTTACGAAATAGTGGAAATTAACATTAACTTATTTATTGATATAAATGGTTTTTCGTACTATACTGAGTGTTTTATCTTAACTTAATTGATACAATAGTTTGAAGGTAGATGCTATATATATACGGTTAAGACGCGGATCTATGAGAGGGTAATGGGAATAGTTTCCCATTCAATATGATTTCCATACAAAATCATTAAATTTATATAATATTTCCAAAATGTTTCCCCCATGACCCGTTGTAACTTAAAAAACAACGCAGAATTTAATTTTCTGTATTTCTAATTTCTTGTAAACATATTCTAAGTGCAATACAACTTTCTTAAAACAAATTCCAAAATGGTACTGTCATTATACCCGTTACTCGTAGAGTAAAAGGGTATACTAGATTCGTCGGAAAGTATGTAGCAGGCAGAAGGAAGCGTTTTCGACCCCATAAAGTATATATATTCTTGATCAGGATCACTAGCCGAGTCGTTCTAGCCATGTCCGTCTGTCCGTCTGTCCGTATGAACGCTGAGATCTCGGAAACTATACAAGCTACAATACTGGGATTAGGCATGCAGATTCCTGAGATTCCTGCGCAGCGCAAGTTTGTTTCAGCAGAGTGCCACGCCCACTCTAACGCCGACAAACCGCCCAAAACTGTGGCTACTACAGTTTTGATGCTAGAATAAAAAATTTAACTGAAATGCATTGTTCTGGTCAATACCTATCGATTGACCCAAAAAAAATCTACGCCCACAAACCTCAAAAAATCGTAGATATGAACGTGGATATCTCAGACATTATCATAGATAGAGAATTGGGATCTCAGATTTAGATTTCGTAGCCTTGCACGCAGTGCAAGTTTGTTACGCGAATATGCCACGCCCACTGTAACGCCCACAAACCGCCCAAACCTGTGGCGCCCACAATTTTCATGCTAATTAAAAAATTTTAACTGAAACGTATTCGTCTCATCAATACCTATCGATTGATCAAAAAAAATTCACGCCAATTCCACGCCCACTCTAACGCCCATAACGCTTAAATCTGTCTACCGCCGGTAGGTGGAGCATTTCAATTTAGCTTTGCTGCTTGAATATCACCATTTCCCTTTGGTTCCTTTAGCTGAGTAACGGGTATCTGATAGTCGAGGTACTCGACTATAGCGTTCTTCCTTGTTTTGAAATAAAGTCCTCAATAATTCTATGTCATTATGAGATATTATGATTATTTGTTTATTTTTGAGATAGTAAAATTATGACGTCAATGACTAAACGACTTAGCCTTTGTAAACAGATAATTTAACAATTTCACATATATAAACTCAATTTCTGTATCCTTAATGTTTGCTTTCAAATGTACAAATATAAACGTGTTGAGTTGATAAAATGTTTTGTTTTATATTTTTGTAGTACAAATAAATATTTTAAGGAAATGTGAAAATTATTCAAAATAGTATAATCAACGACGGTTTAAAATTCGGTTTAAATGTATATAAATAGGTACATGTTTAATTCCTTATCTGAAACTCAATACTTTCCGTTAAACCTATGTAGATTGATTTTTTGCATGACTTTCGGTTTGTTCTAATTAAAAAAAAAAAGATAATCGAAAACGATGACGTCAATGGTCTGACTGGTTTGAACTGCATCGGTGACGTCAGCTTCGGCCAGTTTTAACTGCAAACCTGCCACAGAGACCTGCGAAGCCTTGTGGCGTTCCAATATAACTTGTTGAGTTGTTATCGCTAAGTACCCTGTGATAACACTGAAACAGGCCATAAATATTTGTGTAATTCTGTATGCCCACACACGAGTACTCGTATTTGCTCGTACGCTTGCCTGCATATTTGCCGGATGTATTACAAAATGGACTGTCGAGCTTGATAAAAAGTAAACCGAACCGAACACAGCAACACGGAGCCGACTGAAGCATAAGCACACAATCTTATCAGCTGATTGAAGCAGTTAGCGAGCGGTTGGACAATGTCTTTATCTTCGTCCTTATCGCTGTCATGTCAGCGCACACGAACACACTCGCACGTTTGCACATAACTGATGTTAAATTATGTTTACGTCGCTTTTGCCATCTGCTGACATTTTCCATCTCTTATTCTGTTCCTCTGCGTTTGAATTAACCCCCTTTTGGCTGAAAACTTTCCCATACTTTACAAATAAGATGGCCTTGATATGGGAAATCTTTATCAACTACAACACTTCTTCTGTATCCGATGTTCAAAAACAGTTTTAAAGATTCTCATTTTTTTTATACCTTGAGTGTATAATCCGCTCATCCGTTTCTACCCCAACTATTCCCTTAGTTTAATATTATAACCAAAAGGTTTTTTTATTTTGCAGGTAGTAAATAAGTCGGAACGGGATGAATCGGACAACTAAATCCTTTAGGAATGATCGGAAAATGAGAAGGAAACAGTCCAAAGCTGAGCAATAAAATTGTATTAAAATAATACTAATATAATTTCTTCTGTTCTTGGATGAACATTAAAAAGAAGTATCATAATGACTAAAAGGATTTATTAGTATTTCTACATTTAGTATTCTACACTGTTCGTGTGGCGGCAGAGAACGGATGGAGCTGTTCACTATGCCTGCGTAACGGGAAGCTGCAGACCGCTGGTTTACACGGATTGTTTTTAATTAAGAAAGTTTTAATAAACCATTTATGAATTATTTCATTTAAATAATATGTCGTTATGTCCCCAATATGTCCTTTGTGCTAAAGGAGGGTTAAGCGTAGGGTATTGTATATTTTTTGCACATACACATTCGCATGGCGAGAGAGTGAGAGAGGGGCAACGGGAGAGCGCGAAAAGGAGTACAATTTATTTTACAAACATGTTACATGCAGGAGTCGCGCTACCGCCAAAGTCTAAGGGTCCACCCTACCACCCACCACCCACCACCCCATTTTCCCCACCCAGCGCCATCCGAAAATGCTTTTGTCACTTTGGACGGCACGAGTACGCGGCTAATGGGCGAGAAAGAGATGGGGCTACACAACACATCTGAGCCGGCAGTAGCAGAAAGAGAGAGGCAGAAAAAGAGGAGATGGCAGACAGCTGAACAATAATATAAAATTATACAACACTGTCGCACACACTCTCGTTGTGAGGTATTTATGTATATGTTTCTTACAGGTGCCAGGAAAGTCACCTCTTTAAAATTTCATTAAAGTTAAGCTATAGAACTTTGTGCGTACCCAAACTGTCTTTGAAGGTCCTGGAAACATTTATTTTAAGGTTCTTGAAACATTTAAACAGCGTTTAAAAGCTCGATATCAGAAATAATGAATGAGAAAAATATAGAAAGTGTATTTATGTATTTAGCAGATCGTATAAAATGTTATCAAAAAAGTTGATGTCTGAACTTTTGTATATTGAAGGTGCGATCGTCACTAGATTTGAACCTCGTTAATCTCATTTTATGACAAATACGAGAACCACACGGCAAATGAGCGACATACATAAAAAACAAACAAGTTGGTCGTATTGTGAGAGTTTATAGAGTAAGGCACTACCAGTAAAGGGATTAAGCAGTGTTGTCAGTTTCTCAATATTTTTATAGCGTATACGTAATATTTATGACGCGTATACGCAATGTTGTCCTTTCTATAACATTTCTAACAAATATCATTACACCTATTTGTATTTAAATTGAATATATTTCCAGGACGAGTACTCAATTCTTACTTATCCGACTTTGGAAAACTTACTGTTAAATTTAATAAAAAATTTATGAATCGTTTTTTGGCAGGCAGAGTATTTTACCCTGTCATCTATTAAGCCTAGCATTGAAACCTTAAACCCAACACCAATTTCCATAAAAAACCAAAGGCAAAATAATAATCAAACTCAGTTTGTGCTTTTCGAAAGAAAGCCAAATAAAATAAATGGCTTGCCCTATTGTACATAGGCACACCTTGGCATTCCTTTTCCGGCCCTTTCTCGCCCTATAGAGTATATATATCCACCACATTTCTCCGCACCACAAACCCTAAACGCTTAACCGCCAGTTGCCGTTTTTGTAGCTGACAGAGAACAAGAAATTTATGGTTTATTGCTTGTTCATCTGGCTTAGTTTTTGTCGCATTCCTGCCCAAGCCAAATAGAAGTGAGCACAAAACAAATGAATGCGGCGCGGTGTGGCGAGGGGCGTCTAAAAAAGCGCAAAACT